ACGTACGTACGTACGTACGTACGTACTACGTACGTACGTACGTAGTAGTTACGTACTACTAGTACTACTACTTGAGTATATANATACAGAGTAGAGAGAGAGAGAGAGAGAGAGCCTTTTATTCAAATCAATAGAGAGAGAGAGGGGGGAGCTCTTTATCAAATCAAAGTGGGGGGGGGGGGCTTCTTTGTCTTACTGATGAGCATCATCACATGGGGAATTCCATGTGGGGTGAGGGAAGAAGACAGTGGGGTTTGTGAGTCCTTATCTCCCTCTTAATCTCTCTCCCTCTAAACAACTTCAGTTAGTAGGTAAGTAGCTTTTTACAGTCCCATGTGCCAAGCATAAAAAGTATGAACTAATCTATTTGTCTTATTACCTTGGCTCTTGCTGTCACTGCTCCTCTTTTCTCTCTCTCTATCAACCTCTTCATCCGAGGGCCCCACCATGCATATGCACCCATATCGCTGTCCACTTCAGCTTCCATGGTCTGGGTTCACCATCCCATGGCATGGCTCCCCAAACCTACGAGAGGCTATCTCACGAAAAATGATATAATAAAACAAAGGACGATGTTTCCAATAGGGCCTAGGCTTTGCGAAAACAAAATAAAGCTTTAGCTCGTATCCTTATCCTGAAAGCAATTTCGGTATTGAAAATTTTCATGATGGCTTTAATATTAATTTTTAATCAATAATAAAATTTGAAATTAAAAAAATAGTATAGATTTTGTGGATCTACGAACACTTATCTTTAGGATGAAATGGATGGTCTAGATGATTTGTTGCAATATACATTCTTTTTAGAATTTGAAATCGTAATTTTTTTTTGCACAACTGTAATGTTCATGCTAAGATGATCGATATAAAGGTTTTTCAACATTTGAATTGCAATTTTTGATGAGTTGTAAAGTGAGGCTTTGCTTATTTTGATAGGACTACAGACCTATCAAACTATTTTTCTAAAACAAAAAGTTTATATAAAGCGGTAACCTTATCATTCTTTCACAATAAAACTCACCTTCGAAACCACAAGAAAAGATTATATCGATGATAGAAACCCTCAAATCGATCATCTCAAGATGTAGAGATATTAAATAAATAAATAAAATTTCAAAACATAAACATATTACATCTTGAAATACATTATTTGGACTATTCATTTTAAAATTTCAACATACTAAAAGCATGGGTTACAAAAAAACCAACCACCTAAATAATTATGAACAACTTATGAAAAGTACTATAGTTTTTTTATTTATTTATTTGTTAGAGTAATGATCCTATAAGTACTTTCTCAGATGTATTCAATTTTGTCAGTGGGTAATCATACAATCCACGTGGCAATTGGGAGCACTAGACTGACACTTGAGCTTTGCCAACGTGGAAACAAGCTTGATCCACGTGGAATTCTCCGCCAATCACAAGTTTAATATTCTAAGTAAGGGCTTTATGGCTTCTAGTGTTGGTTTTTTAAGTATAATATAAGATTATAGTTAGGTCTTTTAATGCTAGTTTTATGAGTTCCCTTGATCTTGTGAATGAGGTTCTTACACTTTGTGCTTTTATATATATATGTATTTTATTTTATTTTTGGCCCCTAGGAAAAAAATTTATTTGAACTAACCTCACTGCTCATGTAATATTATTTATCATTGGTTGTAGCCAAGCAATAATTGAACTCATTTTCCTCCTTGATTGGCCGTGATTTCCGTACAATTCGCTCCATTAGTTTATTGAGTGCATATAGCGTGATTCCACGGGAGGGTAATGTACACTTGCTCCCTCGAGTAAAAGTGCTCCTAGATATTCTTTTAGAAAAAAAATGTCTTTGCACACTTTATTTTAAGGTTCTATTTCCCAAGAGACTTAGGTTTCGAAAACATTTCTCCCTAGACTAATTTTATCCATTTTGACTGTTAACTTTTAGCCCAAATAAAAATAAAAAAGACGATCATATCTATTATTTTATAAACCCTCTCTATAGTGAGTTTTTCCCTCTCTAGAAAAGTGTTAAAAGAGAGATGGGCGAGAGAAAGAGAGAGGTTCGGGAGAGAGGCTCATTATATGGAATAAGAATAAACATCTTTCTTACTTTTATTTGGGCAAAAAATGTATGGTCAAAAAGGGTAAAGTTGGTCTAGAGGGTTAGAAAGTATCCTATGTGGAATCTTTATGCTGCCATAAATCTTTTCAAACTTTAGGTCTGTTGAAAAATGTAACCTCAAAATAACCTTAGGTTTATTGGAAAATAGAACCTCAAAATCGAGTGTATGGAGATATTTTCATTTTCTTTTTGTCAGAGATGTTAGGGTCCACTTTAGAAGGGGCCGGTTTTGATGAGTTTATTGACCATCTATTCATGTTGTTCCTTTCTCCATGTTCCATCTTACAAATGGGATTTGGATCCAAATTTTAAGCGATCCATAATCTAGACTATGAGGATCGTGAATATGAAAAAACAAATCATTATTGTCAAAATTTTTTTCCAATTAATTGAGGTCAGCTGAATATGAAAAAACAAATAAATTTTGAAATTCGAAAGAGAGTTTTTGAAAAGTTTTTTTTAACTTCTCGTTTTAGGTTTTAATTGGGTTCCCTATTTACAGTCCATCGTAAAGATAAAGATTTGATGCTTAGGCAACACTGGCGTTCTTTGATGCATCAAATTCTTTCTCACTTTAGAATCGTCGGGCTTTTGCTCCATTTATCAGTTATTTCGGAGTTTGGGGTTGTTCAACTCATGTCCTGATTTCATCCTAAAATCGAATCAAATTGGATCCTAAGACTATTAATTGTATTTTCATAAGATACCAAAGCCATGCCAAAGGCCATAGATTATATGACTTGTCTAACTCTCACATCAATCCCAAGATCCTCTTATCCATTTTCATTCGATAAAGGTGAGGGAGCAAGTTAAAATAAAAAAACTTGCATTGAGTTTAGGGATAATCAGGCTCGAACTGATAACTTCCACCATGTCAACGTGGAAAAGAAATAAATCTCACTATCCAACAATTAGGCAGTCGATATTCCATCTTAGACGTTATCAATGCACTAGATTTGTTTAGGTTGATCGATAAGTTGAGGAAGATAAATCATTTTGGGTCCTAAAATATTTCTAGATAGGCTTTCAACTGAGGAAGTAAAAAGGAGGATATGCTCCTGCAGGGGTGCGAAATCTTTTGACTAGCTGTTTATAATTTTACCAAACCACGAATAATCAAGTACTAAAGCATGACTGTCAAGAGTCAAAGATTACATATGCAAATGTTTATTTAACCTCTTATATTAAAAAAAATAAATGGCAAATGGTTATTTAAACAGTTATAATGAAAAAAATAAACAATTACTTAGATATTCAAGTACTAAAGCAATGAACAAGCCAGGTGTCAGAGATTATATATGCACACATCAAAAGATGGGGGAGGGATTAGGGTTAGGGTTAGGATTTGTGGAATAAGTTAATCGCTGCTTTAAGCCTTTCCAACACATTAGAAGGTGCGCCTTATGAACCTCTGAAAGGACATATTGCATCAAAAGTCACACATTATGGGTATTAAGAGATTTATTGCAACCCCAGTTGAAGAATAAAGAAATGCAGGTTAATGCACCTAAAGTAGCACATTTTGGTACAGAAGGACTTTATTTCAAGAATAACTAGATATTGTAGCACTAAAAAAATAAAATTAAGAAGATATTACGCCTAGAGAAGTGTGAGTTATATTATAATTTAATGAGGATGATAAGCCCCTTTGAGCTGATGTAATCATTAGTGGGAAATGTGTGAAATTGATAGAATTTTTAAGATACCAACTGGTTGACATGTGCTCAACCGTACATTACTGTGGGTAAGCTATTAAATTTGGCTAGATGGCCCTGTTTGAGCCAAAAATTTGACCAAGTCGGATTGTTTTTTTATGAATTTTTTTGAAAAAAATTAGAATAACTTTTAACTAGGCCCAGCCCAAATCATTAACAAGACCAGGGCAAAAGCTCCTTTGACCTAGCCCAGGTCGGGCTTCTATGGTCCCCAGGGTCAGCCCTAACTCGGCCTAGGCCCAGCTGGTGGCCACAATTGAGAGAGAGAGGGAAAAAGAGAGAAAATTTCCATCACTTTGAGGAATTTCATGTGCTTCATGTTGGGTGCAACAAATCCTTGGAATCTTCCCCTTTTTATGAACCCTAAAAAAAGAGATTAAAATATGCCCTCAAGAAAATCAAGGGCCAAAAAGTCAAAAACTATGTCACATCGTTGAAAGAGCACCCAGCCACTGAATTTACCCCATTTTCTCCACTCCACTCTCTTTTTTCTAAGTGGAGAAGCTTGTTTTCCAATACAAACTCTCATTCTCTACCTGGTCTAGCTATTTTTATTCATAGAACGTCCAATGTGCTTTTGAGTTCTTTTACGAAAGAGCTCAAATATATTGGAAAATAGCTTTGAAATCTAAAGGAATCCATTTGTAGAAACAAGATAAACCTTGTTTATCTCAGTGTCCACTAACCTGAAATGGGCTCACCAACAAGTGGATGCTGTTCCAAAAACCAATTTGGAAGGTAAGTTCTCAGGAAATTTCATGTTTTATTTTTTATATTTTAAAATAGTCCAATATATTTTGTATGTTTTACA